GCTCGGCTCCCGGGGTCCGCCCAGGGAAGGCTGGGGATGCTCCTCCTCCCCGTAGGGACACTGGAAAGGAAAGAGGGAGGCAGGCAGATTGTCAGCCCAGGATGTGAAAGGCTGGGTTGCAGGGGCAGTGGTACAGAGATTGTTGCTAAAAAGCAGCTCACCGTCCCCTATAGCCACTGAGTTCCGGGAAGGAGGAAGGGTGGATTTCAACCGCAGACCGCGAAAACAATCGGGGTGGCTTTATAAACCCGCACAAGCCCATGGAGAGCAGCGGTTTCATTCCCCTGAATGATCGCTGACACCTAAAGGCGAAATGCTGCCCCCCACATCACACCCCAAGCTGTATTCAACCGACACCTCCATTGCAGCAGCACAGCCTGGTGGAGCCAGGCGGGGCAACAAGAGCAGCTCAGCTCCACCAGATCTTTTCATAAGCCTGCTCTGGCCCTGGGTTGTAGCCCACTTACCAGTTCTACCTCATGGCTAACCCAGCCCTTCTCAGTGCGGTCTGCTGGATCATCTTTCGAATTCTTACTCGGAGTATTTTTAAAGTCTCCTAGGAGGTGGTCTATTACTTTGTAGCGCTATAAGGGTCAGGGCTTATGCAGAGAGGGTCTGTACACACTATTCGCGATGACCAGATAGGAGGTGGTCTTCAATACTGAAATTAAACACAGAGCAGACTGTGTGTGTGTGGGGGGGGGGGGGGGGGGGGGGGGGTGTGAAGAGAGGAGAAAGGAGAGAGACCCGAAGACTTCTGCAGAGCTTAAAAGCTCTTTCTCACCAACATAAATTAAACCAAGAGAAGATACATCAACACCCATCATATGGCTATGGAAAAAAAGACAGATAAGTGAGACGACAACACAAGGCATCAACTGTGCTGTAGCTGACAGAGGAGGCTAGGTGATAGATTAGATATATACATTTAAAAACCACTATTTCATGTAGTGATTGTTCCTACTTTTCAAGTATTGCGTAAGGACGTGCACTCTATCGGAAGGCAGTGAACACTTGTGACATTGACACAATGAAACTAAGTATCAAAATAATTCATTATGCTATTTTAGTAACAATAACGTTTTTGGACAGAAAGAGGCCATGTGGTCTCTCTCTCCATCCCTATCTCTTTGGTAAACGGTATTTTTCCTGAGGTTGGAGTGTATGTAGAGGCTCCAGGGTCTTGGAAGAGCAATATATATCAATGGAAACAGACTCCCACTATGGGGGGAGGGAAGGGGGAAATCAAGAACTACTTTTATAGATAAGATACAGGAAATATAAAGAAACAGTGGCACTACTGAGCAGCTTTAACTGCCCCAGGCTGCTGTAGACTATTTCTTTCACTCTCCCTAGCATTAATTTACCTGTGAAGATGGAAAAACGCTAGCAGCCAAAGTGAAATGGATTTAGCATGTGGAGCATATTATTTCCTGTTTGAAAAATAATTCTCAGAAACCAAACAGAAGTTATAAAAACTCTTCATTAAAGGCAAAATTGCCTAGGAGTAGAAAATGATTTTATGCAATTTGTTCATTTAAAAAAATAGATTGAATATGATATCAGGACTTGGATAAAGTGTTTTATTGGTAGAAAATTAGCTCTCAGAATGTAAACTCTATAGGGGAATGATTTCCACTGTAGATGTCATACACACATTGTGCTTTATAAATACCTAGTTTAATTTTTTAGTAATACAGTATGTCCGTGAAAACTAGCTTTTTTTCCAAATGTGCAGCAATGCCTGTAGGAGAGTGATTCCTGTCTCCATGAAAATGATTTCATGTGCTCAAGCAGTTTAAACTGAACCAGCTTAAAAGTATTTAAATTTTACTTTGGAAAAGAATAATTACATGTTCAGAAAAATAAAACATTGCACAGAATGGCTAATGTTAAATGTTTTCTTTGCTTTTATTGGGCATATCTGTAATTAAAATAGTGAAACACTCAATTTTCAGTAAAGAAAGAATAGAAATGTATTTCCTTTTGCTGGCTTGTCCATGAATGTAATTCCATCAAAAGCAATGCAGAGATGTAAACTGAACTGTATTTTATTGTTTCACACTTTTCAATCCAGGCAATGGCACTGGAAAATTTCTTGAAGCCATTCTTCCACAGCTGGCAAGCAGAGGAATCTCTTAACACAGGAGAGCCTGTCTTTACATACAAATGCAACAATACAAACTGCACAAGAAGAATTTACATATGAAGTCTCACACAACACAAAACAGAATATCAGCTAGATTCTGTAAGGGCCAGGGACTGGGACTTGACTTCTTGAGGTCCCTTCCACTTCTAGTATTATATGATTCTACGTACTAAATGACTCACCTTTCCACAATATGAATGAATACTTAAGTTCTCTTTAAATAACCAGTCATCCCTGTTACAATGGCTTTCCCCTTTTTTTTTTAATTTGAAGGATTACCAGAAAGTGTGGAAATACCTTTCCAGCACTACAGTTTCAGCACTTGTCTCTTTTGATACTAGCCATAAGAACAGTCAGGCATTAGCTCCAAATGAAGTCAAAAGTTCAGGGTATTATCTACACCGCAAGAACAGCCATACTCCAATTGCCATTGATGGACCTATTCTCCATTAATGTATTTAGTTCTTTAACCCCTGTTAAAGTCTTGGACTTCACCGCATCCTCTGGCAAGGAGTTCTACAGGTTAACTGTGTGTTGTGAGATGAAAATACTTCCTTTTGTTTTAAACCTGCTACCTATTCATTTGGTGTGCCCTAGTTCTTATGGGAAGGAGTAAATAACTCCTCACTTTCTCCACACCAGTCATGTTTTTCCAGACATCAATCATACCATTCTTGTAATCTCTTTTCCATGGTGAAAAGTCCCAGTCTTACTACTCTCTTCTTATATGGCAACCATTCCATACTCCTAATCATTTTTGTTGCCCTTCTCTGAATCTTTTCCAATGACAAGGTATCTTTTTGAGATGAAGTGACCACATCTGCATGCAGTATTCAAGATGTATTCAAGGATTTATAAAGAGGTAGTAAAATTCGCTGTCTTATTTTCTACCCCTTTCTTAATGTTTCCTAACATCCTATTTGCCTTATTGACTGCTGCTGCACATTTAGTGGATGTTTTCAGAGAACTATCCACAATGACACCCAACATCTCTCTCTCAAGTGGTAACAGCTAATTGAGTCCTCATCACTTTATACCTATAGTGGAGATTGTTTTCCAATGTGCATTCCTTTGCATTTATCAACATTAAAAATCATGTGCTATTTTGTTGCCCAGTCACAGTTTTGTGAGATCTTTTGAAGCTCTTCACAGTCTGCTTTGGAGTTAACTATATTGAGCAGTTTTGTATCTGCAAATTTTGCCATCTCATTGTTTACCCCTTTTCCAGATCATGTATTAATATGTTAAATAAGACTGGTGCCAATACAGACCCTTGCAGGACACCATTAGATACCTCTCTCCATTATGAAAAAGGAACATTTATTCCTTTCCTTTGTTTCCTATCTTTTAGCCATTTATCAATCCATGAAAAGGACATTCCCCTCTTATCCCATGCCAGCTTACTTTGCTTAAGAGACTTTGGAGAAGGGACTTTGTCAAAAAGCTTTCTAGAAATTTACACTATATCCACTGGAACCCACTTATCCACCTTCCCAAAGAATTCTAGTAGATTGATGAGGCATGATTTCCCTTTACAGATACCAGGTTGACTTTTGCCCAACAATTTATGTTCCTCTTTGTATCTGACAATTGTTCTCTACATAGTTTCAACCAAATTGCCTGGTACTAGTTTGACTAACCAGCCTGTAACTGCCAGGACCACTTCTAGAGCCCTTTTAAAAAACTGGCATCACATTAACTATATTCCAGTCATTTGGTACAGAAGCGGGTTTAAAGGCTACATTACAAACCAGAGTTGTTAGTTCTACAATTTTACATTTGAGTTCTTTCATAACTTTGGGTGAATTTCATCTTGTCCTAGTGACTTATTTCTTACTAACAGACTTACTCAGCATTGCCCAGGTTTTTCAGGGCAGGGGGCTAAAAGTGTGTGTGTGAAGGGGGGGGGAGTGTTAGAATTAAGGGCATGTGGGGAAGATGTGCAGGAGGTTGGGAGTGAGGGGTGCAAGAGTGAGGGTTGGGGTGACATCCAGCACAAGCACACACTCTCCTCTCAACCTCCCTCCAATCACCAGGGCAATTTTCCACCAGGAGCCTTTTTTCTCCCCTAGCCACCAGGCACCTTTTTTCTTTTCCCTCCCTTCTCCTGTGGTGCTGTGGCCTGGTAGAGGGAAAGGATTTGGAGCAGGAGGGCTACTTAGTGTGTTGGCAGGCAAGATGTTGGAGACTCAGCCTTGCTGGCCACTCCCACGGTGATATGGCTGCCCCCAGTGGACACACTACAGGAGAGCTCCCCCCTGCGGTCCATCAGTGTACCCTCTTATATCGTATCCCTCCTAACAGTTGTCCTTTCCTTTGCACTTTGGGGAAAACAGTCCTTTCCCCAGGTCTTCTGGTTGTCCTAGTATAAGCAAACCCTGACATTGCTTTAAGTTAGGAGAAGAGGAAGCTGCATACCAAAGAGTACATCTAAACTGCATCCCTTTTTCGATAAAGGGATGTAAATCAATTATATCAAAATTGTAAATTAAGCCAGGATTTGAATTTCCCATGCATTATTTACCTAATGGCGGCCGTGGTTTTTTGTTATTTTTTACAGGATCTTTCAAAACGGAGCATTTCTCTCGAACGATCCCCATCTTGACTGCATTTTTTTTTCCAAAAAGCGGCTTTTCAGAAAAAAAGCCATGGACGCTAATATGTAAATGAAGCACGGGAAATTCAAATCCTGGTTTCATTTACAATTTCGATACATCTAATTTATACCCCTTTATCGAAAAAGAGATGTAGTTTAGATGTATCCAAATTTGGTGGCCCTAGCTTTTACTGTTCAGGAGGAGTTCTTGAACAAATGGACCTACAGACAGACAGACAAAGAGAGAGATTAGTTTATCAATTTGTTCCAAACACTCCTTTAATGACATCCCAATTTGTGACAGTTCCTCTGATCTGCCACCTAAAAATAATAGCTCAGGTTTGGGAATTTCCTTCACCCTCTCATCTGTAAGACCAAGGAAAGGAATTTATTTAGTTTCGCCGTAATGACCTTATCATGCTTGCGTGCTCTATTGTCCAGTGGCCCAACTGGTTGTTTGGCTCCCAGCTTCTGATGTACTTAATTTTTTGCTCCTAATTTCTGAGTAGCTGTTCTTCCAATTATTTTCTGGCCTTCCTATTTAAATTTTTACACTTCATTTGCCATTGTTTATGCTTCTAATTTTCCTCACTAGGATTTTACTTCCACTTTCAAAGCAATACTTTTTTCTCACACCCCTTCTTTTACTTTGTTTAATCATGCTAACACTTTTTTGGTTTTCTTTTTAATTTGGGCGTATACATCTTTCCATGCAGCTTACAGGGATTTCACTTTTGGCACTGTATCTTTTAATTTCTAACTAACCTCATTTTTGTGTTGTCCTTCTTCCTGAAATTAAATTCTACAGTTTTAGACTGTTGTGGTGCTTTTCCCACTAGACATTACATTTCATTATTTTATGGTCACTATTTCCAAACTGTCCAGCTCTGGACCAGATAATGTGCTACACTTAGAACTAAATCAAGAATTACCTCTCCTGTTGTAGGTTCCAGGACTAGATGCTCCAAGCAGCAGTTAAAGGTGTCAAGAAACTACCTCTGTATCCTGTCCTGAAATGACATGTACCCAGTCAATATGGGGATAGTTGAAATCCCCATTACTTTTTAAAATGGGTTCTCTAAACTCTGCGAGCATTTCACAATCACTATCACCATCATGGTAAGGTGATCAGAAATATATTCTGACTGCTATATTATTATTATTATTGTTAGAGAATGGAATTACTAACCACAGAGGTTCTACAGAACAGTTTGGTTCATTTCCGATCTTTACTTTGCTATCCAGTATGTGTAAGATAACATGGATGGGCTTCAGTTTGTTACCGCATTCAACAGAAATATGTACGTGTACGCGCGCGCACACACACACACACACACGCACACACAGAGCAAATGCACTCTTCCCATAAGTGGTGTACAAATAAGCAATAAAAAAGAATATAGCAACATCTTTTGAATGGAATAAGTGATATATTCAGAGCCTGTCCTAGAGTTTCCTATTGTATCCACCATCACAGTAGCCAAACATTGTTCTAAAAATTTAAGAACATTTTGGGGCATTATAAAGACAAGAAATATAAAATAGGGGGGGAGGGGAGGTAATATTGTTTCTCTTAGCCAGAAATGAAATGTATCCAAAATTAGAACTGGATTGAAGATTTTCGTTCACAAAAGAGTAGTGGATGAAGCCTTAAGAAAAAAAGCAATGTAGTACACAGGTATTTTTATAGAATCTAGAATTTTTTCTAAGGAAAACTGGATACTACTTGAAGTAAATACACATCAATTCCTGCTACTAAAACAACTCATTAAAACAGTTTGCAACTCTAAAAACTTAAAATGTGTTTAAATATCTGTTTATAGTTTCTAGAAACAATCTGTATATTAATATGGTATCTGTACATAGTCAAACAAATGCATACTTGAGAGTTAATACATATGTTAATGACCAGGAAACTATTAAACATAGGGTAACATTTTCCAAAGTCCCTACGTACATCAGGAGACTAGGCACACTTTAGTAAGTTTTACACTTAATAGTGAAATTTAAAAATAATGCTATGCCCCATCCATACCACAAGGAATAATATTAAACTTCATTTTAAAAGGTTTAATGGAGAGGAACTGCAGTACAGATGGGGTTTACTTTAAACATTTATTAAAAATGGACAGTTAGGCACATCCCTGCTGGATGGAAAATCGTTGATAATGTCTAACCACAGAAAAAGAGCTTTTGTTGTTCCAAGGATTGCTTACTTAAGCAGCAACTCAATGGGAAAGCCCTTCTTCCAAACCCCATTAGCTGGAATAAAAAAATCATGAGAAAAAGAAATCAGTCACAAAGTAAGATTAGAAACTAAATTATTTACAGAATATTACACCAACATTTCAAGACAATGTGAGATAAATGACTCAGACAAGATTCAGAGCAATGACTAGTATAGTGTTTGGTGAGAAAGCAAATGAAGAAAGTAAGGAGGCACTAGGCTGTGCTAAAAGTCACATGCCTAAGCACTTACTCAAGAATCAGGCTAAGCACTTTGTTATAAAAGTGGTTATGTCAATTCCTTATCACTGAAATTTTCTCTTACCCAAGACTGAGATGAGACTGTGGTCAACATTCAACTGCTTCCTAAAAGTCTAATGAGGAGTTAGACAGCTGTAGGTAAGCATTCATAGTTCTTGCAGTTGCTATTTTTAAATTATATTTATAGCAATTTATTTTTGCAGGAATTCTGAAGCACCAAGTATCTTCCTATTGCACCAATAGAATAAAGTCATGTCACAGGCAAGAGATATGTGCACATATCTAGGCACTAAGTTTTTGCCCATTCTTCCTGCACTGGGAGATGTATAAATTCTAAGATTTTTGCTTTTACCAAGACATATAGAAAACTTGGCAAGGGTGGCAATAATATCAGTTTAAACAGAGGCAAGCTGTCTCTTAAGGCTTTGGAAAAGGAGATTCTTCCAGCGGATAAAGCACACTTTAATAAAGACTGTATGCTGTTTCTGTCCTCTGAGGTGAATACTGAAAAGCCAAGTGTATTTTCGAAGTCATCCTTATCACTTACCATGGGTATCTTAATCACTCTACCGAATCCCCCCTCTCTCTGTTCACCACGTCTGAGTCAAGATGGAGATGCATTTTTCCAAGGGCTGAAAAGCCAGTTTTGAAAGGTCTTACTTTGCTATTGAGTTTCACAAAGACCTTCAACCTTTTGCTTCTCTGTGTACCTCTAAGCTCAGAGAGAGGAAGCTGAATGTCTGTTTCATCCAGAGGCCGTGGAAAAGAAGATGACAGCTAGGTATAATTAGAGTCCAGACTGGGCCTTCAGGTGGATCCCCAAAGAAATTAGTCATCTGCATTGAGGTAGTCTTCTTGTCTCGAAACCTGGATATAACCAAGTCCTTTACATAAAGTAAATGGTTGAATTTTGAAAAGTTCTTAAAAATAAATCACACACAAGAGAATAAGGCAGAGCTCTACTAGTGCATTGGCTCTCTAATTTTACAACTAACTACCACAATGTTTTTAACTTTGGGAGTCTGACCATCAAAAGTTCCAAAAGATTAATTTAGGGGTATAGCCATGCAATGTACAATTTCAATTGCTCAGAAATGTATGCGCCAAAGCAATTACACACTGAAAAATGAAACTTTGATCATATTAACTCTGCATTTTTGGACACCGGTGAAGAATAATTTAAACATATCATTTTATAAAAATACCTATTTGGAATATGACAAGCATCATTCTAGTATAGTCATTTTGAGATGACTGAAAGCAATTTAACAATAAAGATCTACACAATTTTAAAGAAAATTAAAAAGAATGGCTGTCACACTTAATTACATATTCAATAGCTAGCACTTCACAAAAGTAGTATCAATTGGCTTTTCCAATAAAAGTACATATGTATTCTGCCTTTTAGGTAAGCTACAATATGGAGGCTGAGAATTACTTGCATCATGAAACAAAGTGGCTATTGTAATCCACATGTGTCTCCTGCCCACATTTCCATCAAACTAATTTTAAGAATGACATTTTCTTTTTGTACAGCAAGAGGTTATTTCCCTTAATGCAGTGTTAAGGCACCAAATATTTTTTATGGTCTCATTTTTCTTATAAAACTCACCAACTTCCTTCTTCCACCTTTTGATATTTCAGTCTGTTATTCTCAGCAGGTGTATCCCTCTGACACAGAAATCAGTCAAATGTGCAATACTGACCGTGTGTGTGTGTGTGTGTGTGAGTGTGTGTGTGTGTACATTTGCGTATAAAGATTTGTTATCACACAATATGTAATTAAGTTTTTCCACAATGTGAAGGGAGTCATCTCTGCAACATTCCCCCAATTAGCAGAACAGCACATGCTTTGCAACACAGCTAGATCACTGAATAACAGCAAGTAGCCAGTAAGACTGTTTTAAAAGACCTAGAATGCAAATATATTTCTGTAAAACCCTGTAGGCTAAAATATTTCTACACCCAATTTATTAAACTAATGCAGAAGAATCTTGAATTAGCATTGCTTAATTATTAGTAAACAACAATTTGTACAAGTGATGAGCTTTTAAGAAAAGCATGTCAAAGCAAATCAAAGAACAATGACTTATCAGTGTTTGACACCAACTGCCTAGAAAAAGTTTATAAAATTACAATGCCTACAGTCTAAAATATTTATCATGTGCAATGTGTTACCATCAATTGTCTTTTAAAACCGTGCACAGAAATGTCTGAAGTACAAAATAAAGCTACCCAGTGTCATATGTATAATCAGCAAAACATACTAGTCAGCTAAGAAGTCATATTTCTAAAACTGGAATTTTTACATTAAATGTGTGAACTTAGATGTCTAGCTACACCAATATTGTGTATTCCCACAACAGTATCAAATTCCTTTATCACATATGAAGGAGTTGTCTCATATAACCATTTTTTCTATTTGACTCAAAATATAATTTTTGTTCAGGACTTTTGTGAAAACATTAATGAAAACCTTTCAGCAGTAATACAACATCGTACTGCCCCATAAAGCAATGCTCTTTCATCAGTTCACAATCTATTGTGTGTATGTTTGTTTACAGATAGTTTTCCACATTCAGAAACAGCACAACTGTTGGACAATTTGAGCACAAATCGGGCCAAAATTTGGACAGGTTCACTGTAGACAATCTAATATTTACTATTACAAAGAAATGCTTTCTGTTTGGCTTATACATACTAAAAGTTCCTGAAAAAGTAGTATGATTTCTAAACAACAGAGAAGAATATGTGCATTACCTAAATCCTACACTCAGCTCTTGGAAACACTCACAGAAGACAACATTTAAGTCTGTAATTCAGGGGTGGGCAAAACCCTCTCAGTGGGATGGATCAGGCCCACCTAGGGTTTTGATCCAGCCTGCGAGGCAGTTCCAGGTCCCACCCCCTAGTGTGTTGCCTGGGAGCCAGAGATGCACAAGCCTTTTCAACTCCTTCTATTTAAGGGGCTCGCGCTTGCTGGGCAGCTGTGTTGCCTGGCAGCCACCCGGCAGGCGCAAGCCCTTTAAATAGAATCAACTGAAAACCCTTGCAGCTCTCGGTTCCACAGGCCCATTGCCTGGGAGCTGCCCGGGAGGTGCAAGCCCTTTCAACTTCTTCTATGCAAAGGGCTTGTGCCTGATAGGTGCCTTCCAGGAAACAAATTAGCACAGGAGCCAGGAGCTGCCAGCCATGTTATGTGAATTCTAAGTTTCCACCCCAGACAACTCTGGGAGGAGGCTAGCCCCAGCACCCTGCCATCTGCTCCAGGTCCCTTCCATTGGCCAGAAGTCAGGGGGTAGGGACTCCAAGCCAAGCAAAGCTCTTGGTAAGGTAGCTCTCAACCCAAGGCCCCGTCCCTTCCAGGTTGGCTCGCAGCCACTTCAGTGGCCCCCTTTCAAAAATTATTGCCCACCCATGCTTTAAGTGAATCATAGTTATACTAATGAGCAGGGCTCGACAAACAATGTAATCTACTCACCTGTGGTGAGTAGATTACACCCCGGAAGAGCCGGCGCAGAGCAATCTGCGCATGCACAGAGCGCAGAACTGCGCAGCTGGCGAACGGGGCTCACTGCCGCTTGGCAAGCCCTGCTAATGAGTACTGAACATTATCCTACATGAGGACTAACCTATGTACCAAAGTGTATTTCAAAGTTTTTAGGAAGATTTCAGCATATTAACCATTTTACAGTTGAACCATGGTTTAGGAGTTTCAATAAGTCAAATACTCCTATTACTGAAGGCATCTGGAAAAATCATGCAGTATGTACAGTTTATAAACTGATCTTCCAAAAAGCTAAGTGTTTTCCTTTGTATTTTCACATGCCGTGTCAGCTTTCTGAATACATTCCATAAATGAGATTCTAATGTGTACTCTTATGGCTATTATTATTTTGTTAGAGATTATTAAAATACACAATATTGGATGACAATAACTTTCTTCTTAAAATTAATTAGGGAGTTCCCCCTGGAAAAATTATTTTTTTATATATCTTTAGCCTACTTGTAATAAGTCTGAAATAAATCTTTAAAACAACACACCATCTAGATTAAGGCTCAAACTGTAAATGGGAAATGAACACAATATGGCCTTAGGTCTGAGCATTCTATTACATATCAGCTTGCTTGATTTTTGCATTCAGCATAATATTGAGGGTGCTAAATGTGGAAAATGAATAGGATTTTAATAAAAAAAATTAGAATTTTTTTAATATTGTTTCAGTTATATGGAGCTGTTTTAGATAATGCTTTTAAAAACTCCTCTTATCTGTTACATATCTTTAAGTCCATTTTTAGAATCAAGGAAGTCACTTATAGCAGAAGATAAGACAATGTGTTGCTTAATCACAAAATGATGTGTGTGGAAAAAGTGACAGAATATTTCTGCTTACTGTCAACCAGTCTTCTAACTAACCCAAACATCGCTGTGTGGTTATAAGCTACAGCCATGTAATACATGACATACCTACATACCATTATAGATTTCTAACAAATGTTGGACACTGTTACAATTTTTCTATTTACAAATTTATATATATAAAAACCCACTAAGTATAAAGCAAAAATGAAATACAAAAGATTGTTTTAAGAAAATCACTGAAGAGAGCTATAAACTCTACTGAACAACCTAAGAAGTCATTGTTTGGAGTGTCCTGAGCCAATATGTTATCACTGAATTAATTCAGGCACATTTTTTTCCTTTTTTTATTATGTAAGCAATAAACTCTTTAACATATAAACCTCTGGGTATAACAACTCAAGTTCTAGTCATAAAATCATGCTTAGAGAAAAAGTATTCAATAAATAAGACTCCTTTCAATTTTTTGAGACTTCCTGCAAAAGGAACTAAAGGTACCATATTACAACTTTTCAATTGAATGCTGTAATTTAAAAGCAATTATTAAAAGTGTAAAAAAGTTCTGCAGCATTCCACTACTGAAAAATAGTTATTTTATCAAGACAGTTACAGTGTTAGTTCATTTCTCCCCTTTTAATTCCCGACAAAGTTGTCAAAAACAAACTGATGCTCCCTTGCCGTGTTATTGTATGTACTCCACTTCAGGATAATAGTTCAGGTTTCTGTGGCAATGCCTGACTGTTCCTATTAAGAGGAAAAAGTTGTTATGTCTAGGTCACAACAATGGAAAAAAAACTCTAGCAATTCATACTTTTATTAATTTTAATTTTCACTCTATGGTATGTAATAATGCACAAAATTTCTTACTAAAGAGTCCACACTGCTGATTAAATAAAGAATAAAGAATCAGCTTTGTAAAAATTACATACCAAGGACAAAATATTTTAAACTAGTACAACTGTAGAGTTTTTTAGTCATTTTACATCATAGCAAAGGGTGGGGGAGTATGAATTGTGCCTGGACTGGTACATTTTCAAGTCAATGTTAGAAGGCAAAAGTAAATCATACAATATATACTAACTTTTCCAAAGTCAGCAGAAACTCAGCATCTTTGAAAAGCAGTAAGCTTATTTTTTACACCTTTAAGTGCTTATCCAAGTTTGAAATTTTTGGCCAAAAATATGAAAATATACTAAACTGTCAGAGTTGGTACCAGAAACAAATACGGGTAGAGTACAACACACTTAAGTCTGTTCTTTTGTTCTCTCAGCTCGGTTGTGAACCCCTTTAACATACTGAAACAGTCCCAATAATATCAGTTGGGCTACTTGTGTGTATATCTGCAGAGCAATACAGGCTGGGAACTTGTGGCTTACCCCCCAGAAGGTACATGTATCTTGCAAAAGCAGCAATTTTAATACAAATAATTAGAAACACTCTTAAAATCTGTAAAAGAATGGCTACTTACCTTTTGTTACTGTTGTTCTTTGAAACGTGTTGCTCATGTCCATTCCAATGTATGTGCATATGCACTGCAAACATGATCAATGAAAGACTTTTCCCTAGCAGTACTCATCAGGTTTGGCTGTGGCCCCCATTGTGGCAATGCCTTGCGGTGTTGCATATACATACCTCTACTGACCAAACTCCCATTTCAGTCCTTGCCTGCCTGAACAGTCTGACAGAGGGGAAGGCAGATATTTAGAGTGGACATGAGCAACATATCTTGAAGAACAACAGTTACAAAAGGTAAGTAATCATTCTTTCTTCAAGTGATTGCTCATGTGCATTCCAATATGTGACTTACCAGCAGTTTGTACAGACAAGGGGTTGGACCTCAACTCGTTGCCCATTTCAGTCCTTGCCTGCCTGAACAGTCTGACAGAGGGGAAGGCAGATATTTAGAGTGGACATGAGCAACATATCTTGAAGAACAACAGTTACAAAAGGTAAGTAATCATTCTTTCTTCAAGTGATTGCTCATGTGCATTCCAATATGTGACTTACCAGCAGTTTGTACAGACAAGGGGTTGGACCTCAACTCGTTGCTAAGTGCAGTATTACACTGCTGAACACTGCATCATTCCAAGAAGCTGCTGAATGATGGTATAATGAGTTATGAAGATATGCACTGAAGACCATGTAGCCGCCCTGCAGACGTGCTGAATCAGGACTTGCGCCAGAAAGACCGCGCACAAAGCTTGCGCCGAGATGACTGTGCTGGTCTGTGAGCCAGGAGAGCACCAAGTTCAAGTTTCATGGTAATAACGACTGCCTCACCTGAGGGTAAAGCCAATCTAGACCCTTAAGGAAATGATCTACCATCAGGTCCCAGAAGATGGACCTCACTCCCAAACCTGGGTGGAAAGCGGAGATAGCTGCAAGGTATACTTTAATAGACGAGACAGCCAGATCCTGGTGTTTGAGGTAAAGGAGACAGTCCAGTAGCAGGGGAACTCTGGTCTCTTGGAGAGTCAAGACACATTTGGCAAGATAAGTAGCCCTAGTAAAGGGCTTCAGATGCCCATTAAGACTTCCAAGACCAAGTCAGAGCACTGGAGCTGAAGGAGGTTTAGCCATGGAGCTTCCGTGCCATGAGGTGGAGCAACTCCAGGATCAGGTAGCGCTCTGCTGGCCAAACTCCTGCATCAACAGGTTGGGAACCAGAGGGAGTGTCATGGGCCAGGCCACTGACAGGGACAGCAGTGTGGTAAACTAGTGTTGCCTTAACTACGCTGGTGCTATGAATTTCACCACTGCTTTGTCCTGTCAAATTTTGAGGAGTCCCCTCAGTACTAATGGCACCCGGAGAAGGCATACAGGTACTGCTGCATCCACGACAGGTAGCATCCAACAAGGAACCCCCGGCTGCAGCCCTGAAAGGAGCAGAACTGCAGGCTCTTCCTGTTTAGGTGGGTCGCGAACAGCTTCACCCGGGGATGATCCCACTCTCAGAAATTAGAGACAGATCTACCTTGAGAGACCACTTGTGGGATTGAAAAGACTGTCTGAGGTGATCTGCAAGGTTGTAAAACTTGCAGATGAATGTTGTGAGAAATGCAGAGATCACACAGGCTGATGGCCTCCTTGCACAGAGGAGCAGAGAGAGCACCACCCCGTCATTAATATAAAACATCGCTATGGTGTTGTGTGTCATGTTTATGACAGACGTCTTGCAGGTGAGGCCGGGCCGCCTGGCAAGTGAGCTGGATCACCCTGAGCTCCTGGACATTGATATGTAACAATATTTCTGAGCAAGACCAAAAATCACCTAGGTGCACCCCTCAACCTGTGTTCGAATCGTCCATCACCAGGGTGATCTCTGGCTGCAGGCCCACGAACAGGACCTGAGCAGACACTATCTGAGGCTGCATCCACCGGTGGAGGGATTGCCCGGCTGCCGGCAGCACGGTCAAGGGGGTCTCCTGGAGGGCTTAAACACTGATGGCAACTACACATGGAACAGGCATAGGTGCAGGTGGGCATGGTGCAGGACATAGGTGCAGTAGGCCATGTGCCCAAGGAGCCACATGCAGTTGTGCACCAACTGGTGGACTCTAGAGTCCATAGAGTGACAGGGTGGTACCCGCCATGGCCTCATCTGGTGACGATGAAGAAGAGAGCACCAAGAGAACCAGATCATCCTGGTTCACCTGTTCTCCTTCCACGTTACCTGCAAGCTGGGAGTTGGGGAGCCTGTTCTCCTTCCCCTTCGGGTCCTACACAGGAGGTGGGGCTAGGGCCACTGCTGAGGCAGAATATAGCCCCCAAGTGGAAGGTGCCACCGACGTATCCAAAAGGGCACCTGCCATTGTGAAAACCAGGCCTGTGCTGGTGCCTCCTGGTGTTGATGCCAGAAGCAGTACTATGACCCAGACAGTTCCAGAGGTGAGCAGGCACTGAGCATGGCAGTGGACTTCCCATAGTGCCAAAGAGATCCCAATGCTGTGCGATGCAGCCATAGTCTGGATCTGAGGTGGAGCCAATTGTGCCATGCAGGCACCGTGCACTGACGTTACCATTGCTGTGAACATGGGTGCAGATGGTGGTGCTAATGACAACACTGAGACCAGTGCCACCAGTGCCATTGAGGGAAAGTGCTGTGCCTTGAATTGTGCCATCACCATCAGTTCAATGAGGTCCCATGAAGCCTTAAGAGTGTCTGGCATGGAGGGAAGGTCAAAGTCCTTCAAAGTCCTTTTCCACTACCAACAGCATTGGGGAGTCCACCAACACCAGACTTTATGGACCACTTGTCGGGCCAGAATCGATAGTGCCGGGGTTGAAGCACTCAGCCCACGTAGGCTGGGAGCGATGCAGGCCAATTCTGGGGTCTTACTACACCTCCTGGATAGGGATGTAAAAGAATAGTCAAATAGTTGACTACTCGCATTTCCCCCCTCCCCTTCCTGCCTCTCTATCGTGGGGAGGAAGCAGGAGCTGGTGCTCGGGGGAGCCAACTTAAAAGCAAGTTCCCCTCAGCACTGTCTCCGTGGTGCCAGGGGGAAGGACGGGGAGAGGGCAGAGGTGCCGCAGTCCCCACTCATGCTGGGTTCCAAGCTGCGCCTCTGCCTTTTAAACATAGAAAGAATTGGGTGGTGCTTACTGTAGTTAAATTTACAGTTTAAAAACAGCAGAGCCACAGCGGGATTAGCTCTTTGGGGCTGGCATGAGACAGGCCTGTTTAGTCCCAGTGCACACTGCCCCAGGAGCTAACCCCCCGGTGGCTCTGCAGTTCAAATATAGTGGGAGCTAGATTGCTGCATGCCCGCCTCCTACTACATTTGAACTGCAGAGCTGCAGCGGGGGCAGTGACTACCTCCCCTTCTTACTGACTAATCGAGTATTTGATGGAAATTCCATCAACTACTCAATTAGCTGATGAAACACAATTTAACATCCCTACTTCTGCAGGGAGATCTGACCCTGTCCATCATTTTGCACAGCACCAGGGAATGGGACTGGTGCCAGGAGGATAAGTCCACTTTCTGTGCCAAAGAATGGTGTTGATACCACTCTTCAGGACAAGGCACTGAAGTCTCATGCCCCAAGGCCAGTGCACTGTACACAGATGGCATTGGAGTGGCTGGCTGAGGCCTATGTGCCAACTCCATGATGCTCACTTAAGCCGCTAGACCTTCTCCCTTTTGGTTCATGACTTAAACCCCTTCAGACATTACACTTATCAGGCAGGTGAGCCTCTCCAAGACACTTCAAACAGGCAATTTCAGGATCCCTTCTGGGGAAATGATTACCACACTTCGCACACTGCTTGAAACCCTAGGTTGCTGCACACTGCAGGAGTATAAACAATAGGAGGAGGAACCCCCCTAAACTTACTACTCTATGTAATTAGAACACACACACACACACACACACACACACACACACACACACACAGCAAAGCTAAACTAGGACTAACTACTTGTCGTGGTATCACAAAGTCAGAAGCTCCAACTGGTAACAAAAAGGAACTGAAGTGTGAGTTGGGTTGGCAGGAGTATATATGTTACACTGCAAGACCTCACCACAGGGGTACCACAACCAACACAATGGGTACCGCGAGGGAAAAGTCTGACGATCATGCATGAGGCATATGCACACACATTGGAACGCACATGAGCAGTCATTCAAAACAGTACCTATTCTAGACAATCAAAATTTGTTAACATACTTATGAACTGAAAATATGTTGATTAACGTGGTGAATAAACAGTCATTTTATTGTTTTGAATATCTAAATGTATATTTAAGATGAGTTTTTGTTGATATGGAATTTGGTTATTCATATGAACACCACAATTATAGTTTATAAAGGGTTCAGACATGATAAGATGAGCATATCAGGGATTGTTATAAGAAACTTCTTGACTTGCTGGGTTTGAAAACAAACTTGTTTAATAAAGCTGTTAATCATCAACCCGTTATAAAACGTGACAGAATTTTGTTTCCAGTAGAAGCTTTTGGAAAAATTCTTTAGCTAAAATAATTAAATTGCTTGCTTTCAACACTGAAGTACAACTTGAGTGGGGACATTCACATTTTTAAAAATCAGCTTTTAGCAATCAACACGTTATACTAGTACTTTCTAAGGAATCCATGTATATCATATCAACTGTAACCCATTTTAACAAATATCAACTATTTAACAAGTTTATTTTGTGGGTAAAATACATTAACTATTGAAATGTAATAACATGTTGCCATGATGAAGCTTTCTGAACGGCTAGTGACATGTAGGGAACAAGGCCACATCACATACAGTAAAATCTGTGTTATCCAGAATGCCCAGGGATTAGGTCGCACCGGTTTTCTAAAAATTCCAGGTATCCTAGGTGGGGGTGGGAGCAGGGTGGGGGCTGGAATGTGGCCTGGTTTGGGGGAGGAGGGGTGCGGGGTGGGAGCCGGGG